ACACACACACACACACAGACACACTTACAATGCTGGGAAAACAAACACTCTTCTGATCAGCCCTCCTCAGGGCTTTGGGTGCTCTCTGAGAAACCGCTGTCTATCTAGACAAAGTCGACCTGGAAACGAACAAAGGCCTGGCTCCTCACTTCACATTGTTATTTAGCAAAGTCTGTCGCAACAAAAGACACGCTGAACAGGATTTTACACACACGCTCGCAAAAGAGACTCTGCTTTACCACAAACTCCTTCTCATCTTCTCAAAGCAGTGTGGATCTGATTTCGCAGTCAGACAGAGACGTATGAGAGTCTGGCTGTAAGCAGTAAGTACCACTTGAAACACAACATTAACCATGCCCTGTGAAAGTTTCAGCCATGCCGATAAAGATTTAACCCGCACAATGAATTCAGCCTCTAATTACGCTTAGTTAAATGCCACATGCTGGGATTTAAATTAGCTACTCAATATTCTCAAGGATGGAGGCTAGGTAATTGCTGCTGACGCTAAATAAATGTAAGAGAGGGGGGTAAATAATGATTAAGGGTTGGTGGTAGTTGATGAAGTGGCTTGAGACTAAAGAGCTTTAACCGTAACAAGAAATGTAGAGAAACAAGTCTAAAGCCAAATTCTAAAATCAGCATGGAAACATGCACACAACAATGACTGTTTATAAAGGTGGACGACACATCTTGAGCATCAATGACATGTTTACCAACATAATTTGGTGTACGTGTTAGCATGCTAATTTTTGCTACTCTTTACTAATTACGATTGAACACAAAAGTAAGGCTGGTGAGAATTGTTCATTTTGCAGGAATTTCATTCCTGCAAATTATAGATTTGGATTTATTTGTATTACAAGAGGCTCACTGCTCACTAAATGAAATCAGTTGTACAATACTATTCAATCTGAGTGGAAATATTCAGGAAAAGCACAATAAGAGCAAACTGTAAATGTGAGTGTGCAACACATGTAAACATGTCGCTGTAACAACAGTGAAACGCTTCACATTTGTACCGTTAACTACCATTGAAATGGTCTGATGCACAAGACGAGAGCGTGAAGGCCGATACTGAGCGGTGACACGAGCTGTGCTGTATTATGGCTTTTTAAAGCCCAAGCGCTGACAAGCCTGCACTTTGTTTACGAGACTGCTTCTCTGTTGGAGTGAAAGCGGCGGTCTGATAAGCCACATGTAGCCCTGAACCAATGACCTGTGTTAAGGAGGCGTAATTGTCTTTTTACAGCAGGCTGTAAATCTTCGCCTTCCCTCTACCAGTTCACCCCTACAAATGCCAACCAGACTGTGGTTGCTTAGCAGCAACCGTACTATTCTTTTTTGTTTTGACTGATGGCTGACAAAGTTAGCTCCTATCAGTGCTTGTTGCACAGTGGTCATAACAATAGTAAAGGATGTCTTACACATTAATATGAATGTTATTATTCATATCATTATGTCTATCTTCATGTGTATCTCGAACGAATTGTGTGCAAGCTGCTGTGTCTTTGTGTGTATTCACATTTGTACCAACCTGCAGCCATCTGCATGTAACCCGCCAGGGTGCAGATCCTCCTCTCACATCCTCCACTGGGCAGGAAGATGGTGATGATGGCCAACAGGGAGCTGACAGCCAGCAGAGCACAGCCGCCTGAACACAGCACTGCACTGGTCTAAGAACAAAACACACACACAGAAAATTATTTCATTTGAGCTCCATTTATTGACTGAAAGTAGAACAAACCCTGCGCTGACTAACAACACTTCCACAGGTGCTTGTACTGTCACACCACCATAGATAAATGTACATATTTATCTTCTTGTTAAAAAGCTTTGATGGCTCTCCTAAACCAAGTCTGTGTTTTGAATAGAATAGAATAGAATCCTGATTGTCATTGTACAAGAGAAACTGTACAATGACAGCTGTACAATGAAATTCACCGTGTCAGAGGGCCAAGAGCAACTGTGTCCGTGTGCACTGCCATCTTTGGAAAACTGGATCGGTCAGATTGTATAATCTCACAGTCAACCACTCAAACAGGTTAATGGCTCTCTCAGCTGGAAAACAGCAGTCCATGGCCAAACAACAGGACACTGTCCCTTTTCATTACATCTTCACTTAATCACACACAGAGGAGCACAACCAAGGCAGAGGAAGGACCTTTACACACACAAACGATAGATTCATTCACAAATCTTCGGATTGTATGAGGGCGTTTGTGCAAATGAAAGTCCACACCCAGGTTCATCTGGTTAGTTTAGTGAGCATACAATTTATGAGCTGCATGATATACATACGTCCTGTCACCAGTAGCTACGTGGGCTGCTTCTAACTATACATGACACTGATTGGTTTGCAGACGAGCGTAAGTCTGATGTCACTGTGTTTTCAGTTCAGCAGGTAAATTCAAGATAACTTTATAATCACTGACGGGTATTGTGCAGCCTGCAGAAGTGAGACAGTGAGACATTTAAAAGGCTGAAGGCAGCAGGGATAAACGACTTTTTAAATCTGTTCGGTTCTTGACAGATTCACTCTACAGCCAGACAGAAGGAGCAAAAATTTCCCAAATAGTGGGGGATAAGAAGACTTTTTTGGCCCTTCTTCTATTGTTTAATGCTGTTTCAACTTCCTGCAGTTGGTTTGAAACTCCAAACCATCCCAAAAAATGTTTTCTCACTGCAAACAATCTGAACCCATGGTTCAGTTTGATCCAGAGCGAGACAACCTCCTTTGGTCGGAGTAAATTTCGGTCCATTGGGCTGGACTTTTGTCCGAGGCACCTTTCACACCTGATATTAAGGTCACCACTATACTGAAAAGTCAAAGGGACCCGACCAAACAAGGTAGGTGTAAAAGCAACCATTATAAATGCATACTGGTAAATTGGTACAGGCAGGTAGCATATTTACTTCTCCAGTCGTGAGTAAGTTATTTACACAGTGTCCTGTGAGAGTCAAAACTAAACTGTCCTCTTGCTCTGCTCTTGCAGAGACTTCTGGGTGTGAACATTCCTGGACAGCTAAGTCTGAAAGTATGTTCAGCATAAGAGTTTGTGTCGCTGTGGGTGTGTTTCCCTCAACCTGTGTGTCTTAGTGGTGCTGTTTCATCTGCATTGACTCTCTTAACACATTCTGCACAACAAAATGTAAAATGTGTCCGCGGACGAGCCCAGCACACTAACACAGTCAGAAAACAGTGGCACAATAGTGATTAGCATGCAGGCGGGGGCGATAAGAGAGAAATGTCTAACATGCGCGAGGGAATTACAGCCCTTAAACACGTGTCATTCTGCATGTCCCTGATGTGAGTGACATGAATGGAGGTGGGATGAAAGCAGAGCGATTTCCATGCCTGACAGAAGATTTAATTAGCTTGTTCTGGGTGTTTGGCAAAGAGGGGAGCTGGGAAATATTGAAGTGTTATGATGGTGGTGGCAATGACGATGATTATTCTTTTGACCTTTATTTGTCCAGGTTTGCTGGGTTACAGATCAGCACCATGAGGACTAGTGTGTGACAGTTAAACGAGGAAAGAACATGTGCAGAATAAGAACAGCTCTTTCAGGAAAGAAAGATTATGAGTTTAATTTGATTAAATTTACTAATCATACATTATTATTCACTCAGCATTTCTCACTTGTTACATTTGCCTCTTAATGGTAAATGGACTGTATTTATTTTGAAGTGTATTTATTCCGGTCTTATCGACCACTAAGGGCTTTACAGTGCAAGTCACATTCACCCATTCATGCAGCTCTTCAATACGCAGGGCTTTTTCTATCACACCGTTCATTAAATGTTTGGGGCAGATTGGAGGAGCAGTAGATCGAACCACCAACCTTCAGGTTAGTGGACGACCCTCTCCGCCTCCTGAGAGCCAGAGCAGCCCAATGGCAAATGGCTGCTAGAATTGGAACCAATGTAAGCTTCATTAACAGCCAGGAAACAGCAGACAGAGAAACAGCAAGTGGGAGTTCTCTGCAGTCAAAATACTTTTTAAGCTCGAAAAGATTTAGTGTTTAAAATAATTAATAGGGGTTATGCCTAAATGAAATCAATTTGATGAACACTTTGTTCTGTTCGGTGACAAAATATTTGGGGGAGCAACACAATCATAATTTTGCCTTTACAGACGATTTAAAAAAGTTCCATCAATGTAATCAGTTTCATGGCCTAAGGAGTCATGTTCCCTTGTTATTTCCTGATAAAATATGCAGATAAAAGATCTGGAGATGATTCCACAACTCATTAGGAAAGTGACTGCACCATATTTACCTAATTTACGATCAGAGCTCATATTATGATGGAGAGTGACTATATTCCATGCATAAACTGAGACAATTCAAAGTAGATAGAGATATAATGGTTCTTTTGTATCGCTCCTTTGATGAGTGTTCTAACTTTTTGTGTCTTTGCCCGGTATTTTCATTTTCCTCCCAAGCGGCGAGGAAAGGACGGTCGATTAGCAGAGATTGCGACACCCTCTGCAGTGTATAAGTAGTACCAGAATTGTGCCACTAATAAGCTTAGAAAGTGTGTGATTATTTTTTCTAGCTTATTTCAAATTATACTTTTCGATACTAACAATAACAATACTTGCTTTTCTTGTTAAACAAGAAAAGCGGTCAGAGAAGCCGTGTACTTGAAGATACAGAAAAGCCATTAGCTCCTGTGGTCTTTGTTCTTCCTTCCTTTCCACAGGAATGATATTCATGTATGCAGAGGAATGTCTCCTTTCCGTGCGCTGCTTGATCTTGGCGTGCCTCGTGGGCTCTCAGTGTGCAGCCTACCTCCCACCCTGCTGTTCTCAATTCACTGTGACACATTAAAGGTACATCATGTCTCATATAGGGGGAGTGGAGGTGGAGAGGGGCACAGTTATGTTCAATTCTATAAGGTGCGCTTCCACCAAACAATGAAAGACACATAATAATTGCAATGTAGTCAGTTGAGTTAATTTAAGATGATTAGCATATATATATATATATTTGAACTTTGCTGTACTTGGTTAAAAATCTAAATGTAGCCAATGTGTGTATTCTGTCCATTCCTCGGTCGATTAATTATCTGCAAGCAGTAATAGATTTACACCACATTTTCCGTGTGCCATTTAAAAACAGCCTGGGAGACTAATAAAGGCTATCGGAGCTTTACACAGCTTCTTTTACACAAAACAAAACATTGTGGTTAATGGTGTCACAATTAATCAGCTCACAGCGACGCGTGTGTGTTCAGATGAAACAAACTCAATCATCGTCAGGTTTTACAAGTTCTACTGCTTAGTCGAAAATGAGCTGCTAACAGCAGTGGTGCTTTTAGTGAGTCTTCCTAAATAGATCGTAATTAAGAGTGAACAACTGGTGGAGCCACTGCAGCCGCTGGAGACGGAGGGGAAAGGTGCATGGGTTGAAACAATTGAAAATAGTGGAGGGGAGAAAAATAAGTTTCTTTGGCGGACGACAGAATGAGACGGTGGATTTGTTGTAATCTTTGTCTTTCTCCCCACTGCGATTTGAAAACTCGATTTGAGAATAATCCACTCAGGATATTGTGACCTAAGGTGTACTGAGGCACAAAGACGCAACTTTTACAACACAACCATAATTAATAACTTGTGGACTTGACCCACAACCGCCATTTAATCCCATAATAAAGTGGCCTGGAGCAGCCTTTAATATAACCATACAAGTGTTACCCTGCTGATAAAACTGAAGGCCTCAGGCGCTGATACACATATAAGACTACCTGGCTCTCTCATAAAGACACTTTATTGGTTTCCCACAATATATGGTCCCGAAACCTGAGCCTGATGGACACCGACACAAAAAAAGCCGGCTCTGGATAATAATAAGACAGTCAGAGGGGGACTCTTTTTGATTTCCAATTACATTAAGGAAGTAAGGGATTACACTGTACGGGCCAATGAAATTTCATTGTCTCCTCAATTGGGAGTTACAAGACGGAGACGGCGAGGCATGTCTCATTAAACGCACTTTGCTTTTCTAAGCCGAGACAGAATGGCTAAATGTTTCAGCGCGGCGCAGTGAAAAATGAAGTTTTCTCTCTTCGGCTGTGCCAGGAAGAGAGAGGCGGTTAATGCTCAGCACCAGCCCTTGACAGAAATAACCCCACCACTTTACAACCCAATGCCTCGCTTTTATGGAGGACAAGGGGTGAAGCTCGCAGCTCCACCAATGAGCAGACGTGACGTGTTTGCCTTATTGCTGGATGGACTCTTTCTGTGCCTGGACTGATCTGCCAGCTGCACGCAACTGCCGGCTCGTCCGCCGCCTGCTGTCCTCGGCCCCCCCATCACTGACCAGCATTCAGCGGCTTGAGAGCCTGGTGGTCACACTTAAGCATCAGCCTCAACATGTTCAGCCTTTAGGAGCCCATTAGCACTGTAATGTGGCTTCCTGCAACATCTCCGAACCACCAGAGACGTCTCTCACACACACACATACACACATTATCAGCGGAGATTTAATCTGTCTTCTCCTCTTTCTCTAAACTGTTTCCATTCCTCCGTCTGCTCCGTCTCATGACTTTGACATCTTTCAGAGGACTCCCGAAGACACTAATATTAAAAGGAACCCCCCCTCCCACCTTTATACTAATGTGCTGCATAAGATACATCCTCTTCATTAATCTTCACTGGGAGGAAACTGGG